CTGACTTTAATAATTTTAGAATCTTTTTCATTTTGGACTTGAGAGCAGAAGTCAAAGAATACAGAATAGGACTCATCGTTGTATTTTAGTAATTTAACCCATGTCCATCTGCTGTAGTCATCAACAATGACTAACCCATACTTCTTGCCTCTGATGGATGCAGTTTTCACTGGTCCAAACAGATCAATATGAAGTAGCTCTAATGGTTTTGAGGTTGAAACAACATTTTTAGCTTTAAAAGAAGATTTTGAAAATTTTCCTTTCTGGCATGCTTCACAAAGAGCATCTGAGTTGAACTTCAACTAAGGAAGTCCTCTGACCAGATTGAGTTTATTAATCTGATATATACGTCTCATACTAATATGCCCCAATCTTCTGTGCCAGACCCATTGCTTGTCATTAGCAGACAGAAGGCATTTTACATTTTGAACCTTAAGTTCTGAAAGGTTAATTTTATAAATGGTGTTCTTCCTTTTTCCATTAAAGAGGATTGAGCCATCCTTTTGACTAACAGCTTTGCAACATTTTTTATTAAAGATTATATCATAACCATTGTCACTTAATTGACTTATGGACAATAGGTTATGTGTTAATCCATCAACAAGTAAGACATTAGATATGGAAGGAAGATTACCATTGCCAATGGTTCCAGAGCCAATAATTTCGCCCTTCTGATTACCTCCAAACTTGACATCTCCTCCAGATCTAAGCTCCAGGCTTTGGAACATAGACCTTCTTCCTGTCATGTGACGTGAGCAGCTAGAGTCCAGGTACCATGATTGGTGTTTTGACCTTGCTGCTAAAGACATCTGCAACAGATATTATTTTCTCTTTAGGTACCCAGATCTTTTTGGGTCCTTTAGGGTTAGTTACTTTAAAGTTTTGTCTGAAATTATGTCTTTTGACAATAGGTTTGTTCTGACGAACTTTAGGTTTAAACACAGGGGTGTTCTGATCAGAACGTGTGTGCTTAATGTCATTAAGATGACCATACTTGAAGTGTGTATACAAAGGAGTATGCTTAATGATTAACTTATCAACAAATGTTGGATTTAAATCCTTCCCAGAAGAAGATTCATATCCAATACCCTTCCTGTTGTTTCTGCTTACCCCATAGATCATTGAAGCCATTTTGCTTCTTTCAAGACCTTTGGCCAGAAACTTCTGAAAACTATAATCATATTTTTCTAAAATGTTTTTGGAGCAAGATGAATCTGAATCTGATTCTTGTTGAGATTTTTCTAAATCAGTTTTCAATTTGAGATTAATAGTTTTTAACTCAACAATTTCATATTTCATCTGGTTAGTCTCAGATGCAAGACAACTTTGAAGCTTCTTGTATTTAAGCATGATCTTGCTATAGGTTTCCAACATTTCTGATAAGCTCTCAATAAGCTCAGTTCTAGTGAGTTCAGAAAATACCTCTTCTGAATCTGATTCAGATCCAGATGTTCCTTCATCATGATATTCTACGTCTACCATCAGTTCCATGTTAGCACATTCTTCTTCTGAGTCTGATGAGGATTCAGATGCATCTGAATCATCCCATGTTGCCATCAGAACTTTCTTCTTGTTATCAAACTTCCTTCTTGGCTTGTCCTTCAGAAGTTTTGGGCATTCATTCTTATAGTGCCCAGGTTCCTTGCACTCATAGCAGACCACCTCTTTCTTCCCAGATCTTCTATGTCCAGAAGACTCTTTACGTTGATCTGGCTTCTTGAGGTTTCTGAACTTCTTCTGTTTGTGCTTCCAGAGTTTGTTGATCCTTCTGGACAGCAAGGACGATTCATCTTCTTCTGAAGAAGAAGATTATTCAGAACTTTCTTCTATAACCTGCAAAACTTTGGCAGATTTGTTAGACTTTAAAGCAACAGACTTACCTTTCTTTCAGGGTTCGTCTTCTTCTAGCTCTATTTCATGACTCCTCAAGGAGCTGATCAATTCTTCCAGCGTGATCTTGTTCAGATCCTTTGCCATCTTCAGAGCTGTAACCATCGGTCTCCACCTTACTGGCAAGCTTCTGATGATCTTCTTCACATGATCAGTCGTGGAGTACCCTTTATCCAGAACTTTCAGACCAGCAGTAAGAATCTGAAACCTTGAGAACATAGCCTCCACAGATTCAGAATCTTCCATCTTGAAAGCTTCATATTTCTGGATAAGCGCCAGAGCCTTGGTCTCCTTCACCTGGGAGTTTCCTTCATGAGTCATCTTCAGAGATTCAAACATATCAAATGTTGTTTCTCTGTTAGTGATCTTCTCATACTCAGTATGAGATATAGCATTTAATAGTATTGTTCTCGCTTTAGGATGATTCCTAAAGTCTCTCTTTTGCTGGTCAGACATAAACTTTCTTTCAATCTTCTTATCCTCACTATTAGTGGGGTGAGTATAGCCATCAATAACTAAATCCCATAAGTCAGCATCATATCTGTCGCACCCTAATTTTTGACCTTAAGATGTCACCTCCTTGTGTGTTTTCTTACATTTTATCTTTCACTTTTATGTGCGACTAACGAGTATCTGCAGGGTCTTTTTTTTTTGCCTTGAAGACATCTCTGACAAATTCTATTAAGTTTATCCTCCGCCAATCAAAAGGGCTTGTCAAGACAAAAGTTCTTTTTGAGAAATGAGGTCGCAGGGTTATGGTAATTGAAACACCATCAATTTCTCACACAAGAGGGTTTGGATTCAGGGTTAAAGATTATGTATGCTTCAATTTGTTATTCTCTAAACAACTGAGTAGTGTGCTTTGCTTCACGAATTTCCTTAATGGCGTCACTAGCCAAGGGATGGATATGGCGTGATCACAAGAATTATTAATATGGTTTGATATTTGATTAAACTCAAGAGTTTGTAGAGTTCCCCCCAATTGGTACGATTGAAAAAGAAATTGTCACAAATTACAAAGTACAAATGCAAAGTGGATGGAGCTTCAAAGATGTTATAATATTATAGTTCGCAGGTTGAAAAGATTGTGTGGACTTATTATTCACAAACTTCCAAACTTCCATTTCAAGATTGTTTGGACTTACTCCTAGGATGTTCCAAGCCTAATTCATGAAGTTACTAGAAATCCTAGAGGCTTACATGAGCAAATTCAAATTCGTAGTCTATGCCAAGACTAATTTAGGACCTGATTCAAAGTATAAAGACCTCACAGATGTTAATGCATCATTACATTTCAAATACTACTTCAAATATATTGAAATTTTGAGAAGTAAAGGTATGCAATTAATCCAAGAAGTTTGAAATTCACTCCCAATCCTAAGAGCCCTATGTTTCACAAAGTAATACAACAGAGCTTTGAATCCTGGTTGCGTAATGGATCGCCAGAACCTCCATGTTTTATTTTGAAGCCAATTTGCCTTTATGCCACATGCTGAGCCTTCTTTGTGATAGCTGGTTTTTGCATTTTGCTTCAGTATAGCCACTGATTTAGTAGTCCTTATAGTGCAGTTTTTGTGATAACCATAACATGGTTGTGTACTTGCCATAAAATAAATTCAAGTCTAAGCTGCAGTAACTCATTTCATGTTATTAACCATCCATAAAGCATATCTTGCCAACCTAAAAACAACTCAACTTCAACCTTGCTAATCTATGGGAAGCAGGGAAAGGGAAATTATGCAGATGCCATACCTTGCTCCACAAGGTCCACCAATCATCCATCTAAACGCGTCGTCAACAGCTTCCTTCTGAATCCGAAAACGTTCCATCAAACAGTAGACCCTGAGAATGCTCAGCCGCTGTCATCGAAGGATTGTCCTGCATTTCACAATCCAGTTCATGCCAGTCTTCGCAAATATCAGAATGAATTAATGGCTAAAGCGTGAACATAATAACGAGAGAAAGCTTGACTTGGCAGCAACCTGCAATTGCATAGTCGAACAGGAAAGTTGAATCCAGAAGTTGAGAGTCACTTAGACTCTTTTGGCCGTATGCAAGCCTCTTCAACAACACTTCGCATTTTGAATGACATCTCAGCTTTTGTTTCGACCTGCATTCATGAAGGAAGAAAATTACGACAACAACTATAAAAATCAGAAACACGGTCCCGCACTCCTTCGCCAACAATCAACAGGAAACATCTTTAGATGTGGTTCTGCAAAGGAAATGGAGAAAAGTGTTAATGAAAGATGAATTTTTGAAAGATTCGGAAAGGTGTACACGAGTTTGATTAGGGAAGTTTGTTTGAACCTCCAGAAAATCCATCTACCACTGATGCTTTGGGACAGGATACATCCTCATTATCTGGTATCAGTCCCTATACCAGTTCAGGCTTAAACTTTTCCAATTTACGCACCAAAGATGCTTCTACCGGCCAGGAGACTTCAGTAGGGTTTACTGATCGCATGTTCTTTACTTCTTCACCTTTTTCCATCAATACAAAAGCCAGCTTTGTTGGACAGTTATGCAGAAAGAATAAGCACTGCCCCTTTCTCGGACACACTGGAGAAAAGCAATGAAACACCCTTTCCTAAAGAAAATATATGTGTTCCAGTTGAACTCTTCCAAATATTAGCAGTGTGTGAAAGCAAAAGAGTTGTCCTGGTCAATATTGGCAATGGTTGCTTCATGTTTTCTCAATGTCTCACCATTATCGTGTCTGACAGTTTGGTTAGAAATTACTGCAGCAAGAGAAACTTCCTCAATCAAGGTGAACGATATTGCTTCTCAGACTGCAGACAATATTGGAGCAGCTATAGAGGCAACTAATGCCCTGCCTCTAAGTGACAGAGTACTTACATTTCATTATAATAGGCAGAGTCCTAAACGTCGACGGTTAATAACTCCTGTTTCACTAAACTCCTTCATCTGCAACCATACCGAAACCTTATTTCTTCCTGAGACATTGTGTTTAATTTGAACCGACACAAAAAACATCAGAACCATATAAATGCATGATTATAGAAAACCTAAGCCGCGCCACACTCCATTCTTCTCCTTCACGGTGAAATTGTTGTTTGTGTGATTTGGAGCATTTGATTTGATAAGAGATGTCTTTGCAAGGTCAACTAGATAGGTTCAAGAAACAGCAAGAGAAGTGTCAGTCTACGCTTTCCGGCATTGCGGCGAGTCAGGTTGGTGGTAGAAAACCTAGTAATCCAGTAGTTGCACATGCGTCGATCAATGGGAGAAATTCGACTACTGGTATCAAATTCTCGAAAGATACTGAGAGGCTTCAGCAGATTAATACTATACGGAAAGCCCATGTTGGTGCTCAGATGAAGCGTGTTATTGATATGTTGTTTGAGACGCGGAAGGCGTATACTCCAGAGCAAATAATTGAAGCATGCTATGTTGACATGAGGGCTAACAAAGATGTTTTTGACAATCTGAGGAAAAACCCAAAAGTACACTATGACGGACAACGATTCTCTTACAAGGCAAAGTATGGTCTTAAGGATAAAACTGAGCTTCTTCAACTGGTACGTAAGTATCCAGAGGGCATTGCCGTTATTGACCTAAAGGATGCTTACCCCTCTGTAATGGAAGACTTACAGGCTTTGAAAGTTGCAGGGCAGATCTGACTACTTGCCAACTTTGATTCACAGTAAGACGTTACATACCCGACCCCAAAGCAATCATTGTTAAAACTGTAACGGAAACAAAGAGAGAGACTAAATCAAGAAGCGATTATGATGCTCAACAGTTCAAGGTTAACTCTCGAGAATTTCAAATTGAGAATGTCATTGAGGTTGAAATACCAACCCTTGCGAATTCAAGTGCAGCTGAAGCATATTTCGAGTGGAAAGAATCTTCTTTTGGAAGAAGAAATCCACTGACCAAATGGAGTCCTCAGAGGTATATGAAATATCAGATGAAGAATGGAAGCATCTGGAAGAGTCTGTCCTTGACAATATGGTTCTCATCCACAATCAATTATTTGGATCTGGTGATCTAGTCCAAGCTTCCGGAATCTTTAAGAATTCCTGATGAAGACCAGTTGCATTCCTTCAGCGCATCGTATAAATTGGGAAGCTTATGTCATCATCCATATTTGCATCATTTATCAGCCGTAAATCAAAGTACAACCAACATGGATTATTAGCAGCATTTATCTCCTTCCAAGACAGCCACCAACCTATTTTCTGTAAAGAAGAGAATTACATTAAGACATGATTGAACGAATTTAATTAACTTCCCAAAACAGAACAGAACGAAAACGGAATTGATTCAAATTCCTCAGGAAAGAATCATTACCATCAATTTGTTCCCAAACAGTCCTCAAACATGCCCCGTCGGATTTGGAAACATCATTATGCCTCTTCAATTCACATTACTCCCCCACAACCATATATAAATCCGAAACAGATGAATGATTATCATGAGAAAAAACCCGATGCAGAAACCACAAATTCAAACAGTCACAAATCCACCCCTAAAAATTCCATGAATCCACAAATTCAGAAACCCCAAATCGAAAAACCTAAAAAGTAATTTCGCAGAAAGAGGTTAAAGAACTCATCTCTTTGAACCCCCATCGCAAGTCCATCGCCGTCAACCTTGAAATCAACATCTCCATTGCGAATCGCAGATCGCCCTGAAACCCTCGCACCGTCCGTAAATCCCCATAACTATCGTCGTTCCATCCGCCTTCAGAACCCCGTGAAGCCACCGTGAAATCACCGGAGAGTCGTCGCCGTCGAGCACTTCTTTTTTATCAGGGGTAACGCGTTCCTCATTTGATTTCCAGTTCAAAATTGAAGTTTGTTTTTGCAGGGTTTTGATAGGTTTGGTGAGGAATTTGAGAAACGGAAGATGGAGAAGAACGAATGAGAGAGGAAGGTTGAACCGCGGACAGAAAGGGAAGGAGAGGAGAAAGCGATCGAAGAAGATGAAGAGGGATTAGGGATTTAGATTTTTTTTATTATTTATTTATTTCTGTTTTATTTTTTTATTATTGTAATCGTACACCTATAACACACACATTCACTAACACCACACACTCACCAACTAATCACCCTAAAATCAACCTATTAATCCTTTTTATTTATTTATTAATCATAAGTAATTAATCTTTTTTTAGAAAACAAACTAACTTGTATAAAAAAAACTTTTTCTATTTAAGTTATTAGTTAATCAACTTTTTTTTAAAAATTAAACTAATGATCTTTTTTAATTAACTGTTTAATTAGCAATCCATTTAATTAGATCTTTTCTTTAATCATCTTTTTATATATTTAGTAATCCATTTCACATTTAAAATAACTTTTAAAAAAAATAATAAACAACCCCTTTTCAACTTAAATTAACATTTATCTTTTTTATAATAATAATTAAATTATTTGTTTACTTAATAATAGAAATGCATTCCATTTGATATAGCTTTCGAATAATAAATCTACGGTATACATAATAATAGGAAACCTTTTTTATAATAAACTAATTGAATCTATTTTTAAATAACTTGGCTTTTATTAATAACAATCTTCATCAAAAAACTAATCTATCCCTTTAAAATAATTCCTCTTAAAATTAATTGTACTAATAATAATTTAATATAACCTTCTTTATAAAAAGCATTATAAATAAACCCTTTTATTAAAAATCAAATCTCACCCAATAATATATTTTCTCATTAATCAATCATCTCGTAATTAAATCAATTAAACTAATAAACAAATTCAGCATCGTCTAAAATTAATCATCCCCCCCCCCCCCTCAATCCTACAGCTTAAATCAACTCACGTCGTAAAAAACTTAATCCAATCGTGCACACCCACAATCACAATTCACTCTCACCTACACCTTAGCGCTTTCATGCGTGTGTATGATTTTATTTTTTCCGCAATTTATTTTCCGCAATTTAACATTACCGTCATTTACATTTTCTCGCACTGCATTTCGTCCAAAGGGAGAACCTGCGCATGATCTCAACAATCGTGTGTATGCATCATTTGCATCATTTTCCCCATGATCCTTGATCCCATTCAAGTCGATCTTTTAGGATATATCCTACCCCATAGGAAAGACCTTTGTCTTTTATTTTTACAACATAACAAACAATCCAACTCAATCAAACTTTTCAAACATTAGAGAATAATATGTTAATCATCTTAAGCGAGATAGAACCTCCACCCCACAACAATACAATCTCTTACACCTGTGGCGGTTACATCTCCCTTAAAATGACAACACATCTCGTCTCCTAGACCCAATCAACCAACTACCCTGAACCTGTAGGAACTTCGACCACAGTCAAAGAACTCCTCAAACCCTTTAGGGGAACTACAGATACTCTGATTCCACTCCCGTAAGGATATGTAAGCATAAGATGTGATATCTTATCGAGTATACTTAGAAATAAACCCCCTAGGTCTTTCAACCATTAAGCAGATAACCTTTAGCAATAAACGACATAAAACAAGAGGTTCCTGTAGAGTACTACAGAAACTTAGGATGCTAGTACCTTCCCTAAGTTTAACCAACCCCCGAACCTAAAACTCTCTAGCTTGCATTTGCATCATTTTCCCCATGATCCTTGATCCCATTCAAGTCGATCTTTTAGGATAGATCCTACCCCATAGGAAGGACCTTTGTCTTTTATTTTTACAACATAACAAACAATCCAACATAATGACCCTTCCCCATAGGGAAATCTCAATTCATTGGACCCTTCGTCAAAGAGAAAGCACCAAGGGCGCCACAGTCTAGGAGCCCAAAGTATGTTTTCCAATAATTCCTCCATTAGGTCTAGCTCTAGCTCTATCGGTTTCGGGTCGTAGACTCCGACTCCTTCCCCTTCTTCGAACCCCGGTTCATATTTTTTATAGAGAAATCATTCACTATTATAAATGATAGAAGAAAACCCATTTTGAAGCATCTTTAAGGGATTTCTTTCGGGCCGAAGAAGCAACGTCACTCCATCATTATCAAACCGACTTCCTGTCTCGGAGGGTCCCAGCAGAGCACCCTCTATTTCTAATAGCCCATGAACTAGATCAGAATCATTCTCACGGAGTCTATAAGAAGCATCATTGTTTTCATTAGGTCTGGGTACAGAAAAAAAGTCTTCAGCGACCGATCCGGCAGAATAACTCAAAAGATAAAGAAGTATAGTTAATTTCTTCATGCTTCTTCCAAGTTCGACGTACCATTTGTACAAAGAAGAATCCCCCTCCTGACATGCTGTCTTCCTCATATAGATAGATATAGGATCTATAGAGCAATTACTGAGAAGTAGATTTTGTGAAACAGCCCTCCCTATCTGATAAAAAAGGATCCCACGATCCTGAATCTCTCTTATATGAGATCTAAAATTCCAAGTTTGTCTATGAAGAGCAAATCGAATTATATTAGTGTCTATAATAGATTTATTTTGTATAATACTAATCGATAGCGCCTCATTAGTAAGTGCTACAAGATCAGGTACATTAGAACCTAGATTTATAGACCCCAATCGATTAGTATGGAATATTTGCTTTTCCAAGTGAAATCCCCTAGTATATGAAAGAGTAAAAAAGTGCTTTCTTTGTTGTGGAATAAGAAGCCTTCGTACCTTAATGCATGTATTTAATTTATCCGTCCCTATTAAACAAGGGTCTACTTTTTCTGGAATATGAGTAGAAGCAATAACAAGATTATTGCTAGTAGAACCTTTTTCAGAATCTCTGGAAAGAGAGTTCACTAATATACCCAGCGATAAGTCATCTGACTCCTTCCTATCGAAATCATGAATGTTTGGAATACAAATTATGCAAGGAGACATTGCTTTTACTAATTCCAATTGAATTTGGAGATAAAACCGGTCTAGTTCCTTTTCCGGTATGATATCGCTAGATACCGGATCCTCCATACGTAGAAACTTCAATCGGCTATCAAGCTTACGGTCGAAATCGTCGCTATGATCCCTTTCATAATTCTCTGGATTATAGCAACTACCCTCGTAATCCGGTAAAAGACTGTTAATGGTACCCTCTCTTTGATCAAAAAGACCGTCCTCATCATAACTCGTATCAAAACCCCTAGGAAAGTTCTCCAGGAACTTGTTTACAAATACTGTAATGAAAGGAACATAGGAGGTTGTCGCTAGAGATTTGAGCAAATAGGATTGTCCAGTTATTATAGAACCTATCACTAAAATACCCCTAGAAGGGGATAGGGCTAAGCGTAGCGAAAAGGGTTTCTCATGAGATGGGAAATCCAAACAACTAGCCCTACACGGGTTTTATGAATAAGTGATTGTCTGATAATGAGCGAGGAATACCCGTCTTTCTGCTAAGCAGGATGTATTGAACTCATAATTCATTAGATCCTTTTTATGAATGTCAATTAAATATCATAAGTAAATTGTTCCAGGTTGTTCAATCATTTGATAACTCGAGTTATTCTTTGATAACTCATCACTATTAGTAAGACTCACTAAAATTTGATCCATCCTTTTTTCTGTCGTTAAGGTAGAGAAAGTAAGCAAGAATTCTCTTTCTTTATCAGCAATTAAATCACTATTCGCGATCCAGGATTCTATTTTATCATCAATGCAATCACTATTCATGTTTTTTCTTTTTTTTATCAATGAATAGATTTCTTTACTTGTATGACTTAAATGTCTCGTATTTTTCAAAAACGCGATTCGATCGATGGGATTTGGTAGAATCCTTATGAACTTCATGAGATTAAAACCTTCACCCCTTGGGACGCCAGAAAGCGAACCTCGTCTTTCTTCTCGAAAATTTTCTAATTGTTTTAGAGCCATTTGAAAAATATACTGTAACCAGAAATATTTTTGTTCTGATGTACGATACCTATCCAGAAGTTTTTGCAATTCAATGATGTAGGATGGAATCATCAACGATTTGACCTGTTCAAACTCTGTCTGTAACTCATTAGAGAATCGAGAAACAAAGGAAAGATGTGTATGAACTAAATATCCAGTAATAAGAAGAAGTAAAAGGATTGAAAACAGGAACTCCTCAATATTTAGTGATCTCAGATGTGTCGATATGAATGGTGACTCATTATTTGTGTGAAGAAGATCTTTTTCGTACACCTCTACAAGAGACTTATGTAAACACTTACTCCAAATATCACTTATACGATTCCGTTGTCCAATCCCCAGTTTTTTCCGAAGAATTGCCTTGGCTCCATGGATAAGATTAGGCAAAATAGATAACATTTTTTTCCATTTAGGACTCTTCTTTAGTATCACAAATAGGTCTGAAAAAGTATGTATAAATAGTAAAAGTAGATTTTTTTGCCCTGTCGTGGTAAGGAGCGACGATATTATATATGGGTACAATGGCTTCAATTTGGAGAGAACGGTTGAAAAACTACTCTTTCTTTGAAAGTTTCTATACATCTGCCCTTTTTTAAGGAATTTTTTTAGAGGTCTTTTTTTCCTCTTTTCGGATGGTAAAAATTCCTCAGAATATAGAGTATATGAATATAGAGTATATAGAGTGTCACGCAAATCAGTGTCAAGCAAATCTATGTTTAAATCGAAATCCAAATACGTATGCAACTTTTTCCATTTTGGATCAGACAGATTAATAGCGGAAAGACGATTACAATAAGTTCTTTCAAAATTCACTATTTCTTCCTCTGTTAGAGGTGTTCCAGAAATGTCCGCAATAGCTCTAGGAACACGAGTTGGAAAATGGAAAGATTTGTACAAGTCATATCCGTCATCACCACTTTGCGGAAAATTATTTGCTATCAATATGTTAGAGACCTCTAACTCGCTTGGTGAAATAGTATCTCTGTCCAAAAAAACATGTTTTTTTTTCCGTCGCCAAAAGAAAATATTTTCTTTCGACTGAACAAGACATTGAGGAATTGTTCATACAAAAAATCATAATTACAGGACCTTTCCCCATAAAAAGAGAATCTTTTCTTACAATCGAAATCTTGATTATTCAAGAATCGAAGTCGATTTACTTTATAAAAAGAGGAAATCAATGAACTTTTATGAAAACATTTCACAGGATTCAGCCAATTGTCTTGATTTGCTATCTGATTGATCAATAATTTCGATTTTTGAGAAGTATAATAGTCATCCAATAATAGGGCTTTCTTTTTTCCAAATGAACCGTTTGCAGACCCATTGATTCTAACAACTGATTCCTGAGTGCATCATTCATACGTTTCAATTCATCCATATGGATCTGAGACCTATGAACGGGCATACTCCCGAAAATCACCAAGAAAAAAGGAACTGAGTTAGAGAAAAAGGGAAGAAGCTTGGACAAAAACAAACAAAGTGACTTAGAAAAAAAAATTTGTCGATAACCTCATACCAATCAATCGAATATGCATTCATATGTAATCGATCGAACACTACTTGAAAACAGATATTCTCCTCAGAAATGAAATGGTCCAAATGTTCCTGGAAATTCTTGCTCCCCTTGGACCATTTGTATTTATCTGTATTTGGATCCTTATTCACGGATCTCTCGGTTCCATAAATAAAAAGAAGAGGATCAAAGCATTTCTTCTGACTCTTTTTCCAATTTGAGAAACGTTGATTGACCATGTGTTTCCTTAGAGGTATATGATTATGAATATCATTTTCATACCTTTGAATTACATATTCTAAGTTGCGATTGAATCGATTACCTTGAAAAGAATTCCCACAAGAGGTCTGGACCCATTTTTTATGATCTTTGGATAAAAAGATTCATTCGCTTCGTAAAAAAGCCGAGGCAGAACCAATAAAGATTTCTTTTTTGATTCATCCCTGGAGTTGAATACTTGATTTACAAATTGTTTATCATCAATTTTTGACAAATCAATAGAAAAAGAGAATCCATTATGATACACCAGATCCGGCTTAGTTATTGAGAGATTGAATAGATTTGCCATTTCTTGAAATCTCTCTTCTGATTGAAAATCGCAATGTAACAAGTACCCCCTATTCTGGTCATGGAATAGATCAAATAAACCAAAAACTAGATTTTGGTTCAAGAATGAAATATGATTTGGAACTGTCTAAAGTTTCTCCTTTGCAACCCTATCACATCCTCTATCGGATGAAATCGGATGAATTGAGACATTATTTTGTAAATACATGATTATCTTCACTATATTGGCTATTTCTTTATTTTCCGATTGCCTCGAAAGAACAAAAGAAACATCTTCTTCTATTTTAAATAATTTTATATCTTGAGCGGACTTCTCAGTAGGATTCAAATCCAGATGAAGTTCTGACCATCTGTCGCCGAAAAAAGAGCAATTATCTCTCTCAGATATATTTTTTTTCTTTTGGACCAGATAGGAGCGGAACAATCAACCTAGTCATGACCAACCTATTGATATTGAACGAATCTTTTGAGTCTTCCAATGGATTATTCCCGGATCCAATGGAATTGATTTGTATAGGAAGAAGCCCTATCAAATAAATATTTTTTTTCCGATCATCTTTCGATTGTTAATACGATATATAAGGATCGCTAGTAGAAATAAGACAAAATTCTTGATCGTGAAATCTCTTGTTAAACCGCGTGAAACTAGGATACTCCAAATTCTGGAGTCTAAGAGTTTGATAAAACTCTCTTGATGGAAAAAAATGTGAATGACAGATATGACTGAATGGAATTGTGTCCAGGAATCTGAGAAATAGGAAGAATTCTTGCTCTCTCTAAAAATGTCTCGCAATTCTAAAATCCAAACGTCTAAGTCATTTTTCTTCGTTTGATTCATATATCCCCCTTTATTTAAAAAAATTTAAAAAAATTGATGTATTTTTTTTATCGATTATTTTTTCTCTTCTATTTATTTCTCTTTTCTCTATGTATTTATTTATATCTAAACTGAGATATATCATCATACCAGCAACTTGATTTGCTATTTCACTCTCAATCTCTTGCCCTAAAAAAAGGAGTCTGTCGTAAAAAAGTTGATGGTATAAGTCAACCCAAGTAGCTTCATCCTCGCCAGGAATTTGAAAGGCTACCTTTGGAACACCTACTGGCATAAAAAAAATGATGAAGTTGTCTGACACCAGCATGTTACTTTGATGTAAAATTGTGCAGATTATAGATATTTATCTATGATCTATCTATCTATTTTATTTTGATTCCGAAAATAATATGAAATTCAGAAAATAATATGAATATTTTAATCTTCAAGTTTTTCGTTTTACTATGTATATCATATTAAGTATAAGATATAAGCTTTTTCCAATAGAAGAAGTTTGACCCCTCCCATTAGTAATTCCCATTTATTAATGTTTTCGTTTTCTTTATTGGTGGGGTCTTATATATTCCATTTTCCTGTGCCTCACAACCCAAAATAATTCGGGGGGAGGGGTCATTTCGTTTTTTGATCTAGAATGAATAGTTTCAAGAGATGAGAGAATTCAGAATACCCACTAGAAATACTAATCCAATCCATAAGGATGTAGCGGAAAAGACAACATTTTTGTTACTTGACCAACCATCAGGAGAAGCAAATACAACAGGTACACTAATTAATAAAATGGATGAAGTAACAATTAATGCAAAAACAACTAATTGAAACGCAATAGTCATGTTTATAATCCTCTAATTTACCAACAAAAGAACTATACCATTTGATCCCCCAACCCCTTTTCTTTTGATTTGACCCCTTCCAAAAATAAATAAATAAAACATTCTCATTATGGGGGGTTTTATCATGAATCCATTGATTTTAGATGACACTCCTTATTGAGGCATGGATCGAGGGGTAGTTTTTTTTTTACTTCACAAAAGAGCATGCTGGATCATGAATATATAATATATAATATATATGGATAGAGAACTAGACCAATAGATTCACACTGGATATCTTTATCATAGAGAAAAGGGTATTAATTTGTATGGTCATGTTCTCTTGAGTGGAATAAAGATAAAATAGAAGTTAGCTTTTGGAGAGATGGCTGAGTGGTTGATAGCTCCGGTTTTGAAAACCGGTATAGTTCCAAACAAAGAACTATCGAGGGTTCGAATCCCCCTCTCTCCTTTTTCTTGGCGAATGGATTTTTTTCTTTTATTGATTTAAGTTGGCTCGTTTTTTCGGGCTCGGCTAAAAGATTAGATATAAATGAATTGAAAAAGAAAATATTTTTTCAAAATGATCTCCTCGACTCAACTCAATATGTATACTAAAATCAAAGTGATTCTTACGTCAAGCATTGGATTTCATGTCTCAATTAAGAGGAGTCATGGAAAGAACAGGCTCCAAATCTCTATCAATTCCTTTTTCAAATCCTGCGGCAGCTGCGCGAGCTCTTCCCGCGTGCCATAAATGACCTACGAATAGGAAGAATCCTAGAACAAAATGAGAAGTAGCTAACCAACTTCTAGGAGAGACATAATTGACTGCATTAATTTCTGTAGCTACGCCACCCACGAAATTTAAAGAACCTAAAGGAGCATGAGTCATATATTCTGCGGAACGACGTTCTTGCCAAGGCTGTATATATTTTTTCAGTCTGCTCAAGTCCAAACCATTAGGACCTCTTAGAGGTTCTAACCAGGGAGCACGCAGATCCCAAAAACGCATAGTTTCTCCTCCAAAAATGACTTCTCCGGTCGGAGAACGCATTAGATATTTACCTAAACCGGTAGGCCCTTGAGCGGAGCCTACATTAGCTCCAAGACGTTGGTCTCTAACTAGAAAAGTAAATGCTTGAGCTTGAGAAGCTTCCGATCCAGTGGGACCATAAAACTCACTAGGATAAGCAGTATTATTAAACCAGACAAAGCAACAAGCTATAAAACCAAAAATGGCTAAAGCACCTAAACTATAAGATAAGTAAGCTTCCCCAGACCATACTAGTGCACGCCGAGCCCATGCAAAGGGTTTGGTTAAGATATGCCAGATTCCACCAAGTATACAAATGGAACCCAACCATACATGTCCCCCAATTATATCTTCCAAATCGTCCACACTAACAATCCAACCTTCTCCCCCAAAAGGCGATTTTAGTAAATAACCAAATATAATGCTTGGACTAAGGGTTAAGTTGGTAATTTTTCTTACATCTCCCCCTCCTGGAGCCCAGGTATCATATATACCCCCAAAATAAAAAGCCTTCAATATTAGAAGAAAAGCCCCTATACCTAACAAAATTAAGTGAATACCTAAAATAGTAGTCATTTTATTTCTATCTTTCCATACATAGTAGGATACTCCAAATTATATCTCGAAAGGTATTATAAGTCCAAGCATCTTATTAATGGAAAGCCCTTTTCTTAAATACTAAATCATAAAAATCGAAAAATTTAGATTCTATATTTGAATCTAGTCTATAGTTATAAGTATTCGAATAAATAGAATTGCTTATTGCTTGATATTTGAAATAAAGGGTATTCTATATTAATCAAATTATAGAATACAATAGAATAACTAGTTAGAAAATAGTAAAGAATCCTTTTTGACAGGAAATGGATATATCCATATATTTCAGACTTATCTTAAAAAAAAAAGGCAAAATTTATACCAAAAATTGGTTCGCGGAAAACTGGACGTATTGGTTCGCGTAAGCATCCGCGTAAAATACCAAAGGGGGTTATTTATATTCAAGCTAGTTTCAATAATACCATTATGACTGTTACAGATGTAGGAGGTCGGGTTATTTCTTGGTCCTCCGCCGGTTCATGTGGATTCAAGGGTACACGAAGCGGGACACCATTTGCCGCTACAACCGCAACGGGAAATGCTCTTCGATCAGTAGTCGATCAAGGCATGCAACAAGCAGACGTCAGCATAAAGGGTCTCGGTCGAGGAAGAGATGCGGCATTAAGAGTTATTTTTCGAAGTGGGATACTATTAAACGTTATACGGGATGTAACCCCTATACCATATAATGGATGTAGGGCTCCTAAAAAAAGACGTGTGTAAAACTAACAATAAATATGAAAGAAAAAGATTTCAAGAGAAATAAACAATTAAATCAAGAGTTTCATAAAAATAGATTACTATGATTCGAGAAAAACTAAAAGTATCTACTAAGACACTACAGTGGAAGTGTGTTGAATCAAGGGTAGACAGTAAGCGTCTTTATTATGGACGCTTTATTCTGTCTCCACTTCTGAAAGGTCAAGCAGATACAATAGGCATTGCAATGCGAAGAATTTTGCTCGGAGAAATAGACGGAACATGTATCACACGTGCAAAATCTGAGAAAATACCACATGAATATTCTACCGTAGTAGGTATTCAAGAATCAATACATGAAATTTTAATGAATTTGAAAGAAATTGTATTGAGAAGTAATCTATATGGAACTCGGGAGGCGTCTATTTCTTTCAAAGGTCCTGGATATGTAACTGCTCAAGACATCATTTTACCACCTTCGGTGGAAGTCATTGATAATACACAACATATAGCTAACCTAACGGAACCTATTAATTTGTGTATTGAATTACAAATTGAGAGAAAGCGGGGATATCGTATAAAAACACTAAACAACATTCAAGATGGAAGTTATACTATAGATGCTGTATTCATGCCTGTTAGAAATGCAAATTATAGTATTCATTCTTATGTAAATGGAAATGAAAAACAAGACATACTATTTCTCGAAATATGGACAAATGGAAGTTTCACTCCTAAGGAAGCACTTTATGAAGCCTCCCGGAATTTGATTGATTTATTTATTCCTTTTTTACATGCAGAAGAAGAAAACTTCAATTTGGAAAACAATCAACACAAAATGACTTGGCCCCTTTTTACTTTTCATGATCATGATAGATTCGTTAAGGATAAACTAAGGAACACTCAAAAAGAAATTACATTGAAATCCATTTTGATTGACCAATTAGAATTGCCTCCCCGGATCTATAATTGTCTTAAAAAGTCCAATAGACATACATTATTTGAATTTTTGAATAAGAGTCAAGAAGACCTTATGAAAATTGAACATTTTCGCGTAGAAGATTTAAAAAATATATTAAACATTTTACAAATCGAAAATCATTTTGTATAAATTGAAAATCCATTGGATTCTTTTGAATCTTTCATTTTTTTTATTTATAAAAAGAAAGCTTCAAATATTAAATTTGAATCTTTAGCACAAATCAATATATTCAGAATCGGTATAAAATGAAATAGATGGATCTAGGGATTAGTCATTTCAAAGTGAATTTTCCCTAGATACACAATACACCTGTCATGATATTTTATTTGACAATAGAATCAATTTAAAATATCCCTAACGTTAGGGATTTTTCAATAGGTAATGTTGCTCCAATACCCAACCAAAGAGCCACGACGGTACCAATCAAAAAGACGGTTGTTGCTACTGGACGCCGAAATGGATTTTGGAACTTATTAACATTCTCCAAAAAAGGTACTGTTAATAATCCCGCGGGTACTGAAACCATTAAAAGAACGCCCAATAATTTATTGGGTACGGTACGAAGTATTTGAAATACGGGAAAAAAAATACCATTCGGGCAATATTTCCAAAGGAGTTGCAAACGGATCTGCGGGTTCCCCAATCATTGATGGTTCGAGAACCGCTAAGCCTACGTTACAGGCAATAGTACCCAGAATAACTACTGGAAAAATATATAAAAGATCGTTATGCCATACGGGTTCGCCATAATAATTATGACCCATCCCTTTGGCCAATTTTGCTCTTACTACAGGATCCGTCAAATCAGTTTTTTTTGTTATTGGGATAGGTGAATTCTTATAGATCCATCCTCCGAAAGAACCGGACATGATAATTTTGCATCATCCGGCTCGAGCACGAATCAAACAAACTGAATGCAGACATAGAAATTCTTTATATGTTAGTCACTCATATATCATGATTCTATGTAATAATATGTAATAAAATGGATTTAATTGTTTTAATTTTCGAAATTACAACTATCCATTGTAAATGCAAAAAATTCAGTTCTTATTTTAAGTAAATGCTTTTCACCCAAGTAAGTTTTCAAAATCCAAAGTTCTTTCTGGGTGATCTCAAACCTTTCGCCTGGTATACCTAAAAAAAAAAGAATTTTCAGAATTTTTGACATAGAAAGGATTTACTTGTTACTAATATAATACAACCCACTTTTTCTTTAGATCTACTTGTTTAACTCCGATAGTATCATAAATTGAGTCAATGCATAGGAAATGAATGCATTTCCATACTATTAAGTTTAATGAAATACATATTACATTATTTAGATTATATCATTTTACTTATTTTACTGGATATTACGGAGTTTGTTCATGCAGGATATGATCGAGTCTGATCATAGAAAAGATTTTCTTCAAGCGAACCGGACTGACTATCCTCTGTAGAGGACTGGCGCGGTGGTTGGAACAAAGACACATTTAATTGTGAATTCAAATGTGGCAGATAAGATGAAGTTATATATCTGCATGGCCCAATCAATAGTTCAAGTCATACACTCCCATAATCCATTCTTTTTTCGGAGAGTTCCCTTCCACTATTCGTGTATGTCAAATAAAGAATCCAATTTATTTTGTTAAGTGGAAGGGAAATATCCAAATACATGTCTTATTCAAAAAAAATAATGCATATTTGTAGCAATGAAATACTATTACTCCTCCCCCAAATGATTGATTACAAATATCTATGATTTATATTCTCTATAAAGGACCGGAAATTCCTTGCTTACGTATCATTGGAAAGTGCATTAACATGAATACGGCAGTAAGTAGAGGTAATACAAAAGTATGTAAACTATAAAAACGAGTCAAGGTAGATTGTCCCACACTAGCACTGCCGCGCAATAACTCTACCACCGAGGATCCTATTACAGGAATAGCATCGGGTACATCTGTTACAATTTTGACTGCCCAATAACCAATTTGGTCCCAAGGTAAAGAATAACCAGTTACACCAAAGGATGCAGTCAATACACCCAAAATTACACTTGTAACCCAAGTCAATTCGCGAGGTTTTTTAAAACCACCAGTGAGATACACGCGAAATACGTGCAAGATCATCATTAATACCATCATACTTGCTGACCATCGATGAACTGATCGGATTAACCAACCAAAGTTAGCCTCAGTCATTATATATTGAACTGAAGCAAAAGCCTCCGTAACGGTTGGACGATAATAAAAAGTCATAGCAAAACCCGTCGCTACTTGGACTAAAAAACAAGTAAGTGTAATTCCTCCTAAACAATAAAATATATTTACATGAGGAGGGACATATTTACTAGTTATATCATCGGCAATGGCCTGAATCTCAAGACGTTCTTCAAACCAATCATAGACTTTATTCAGATAGGTAAACCAAGGGACCCCCCTTCGAACCGTATATGAAAATTTCATCTCGTACGGCTCAAACAAAAAGACTCAAATACTGGTTATTTGGAAAACAGATATGTGTAATAGAAAATTTGAAACTTCTGAACTTAATCCTATGATTCCAGTCTTTTTTGAAGATCCAAAAAATAGAAATCCACAGGATATTCTTAGTGTTTATAATGCCAAAATTTCAAGTCGGCTCACTCGTCTTTTCTCTTGATCCTTACAGGCCTCTTGAATATTCTATTATTTACTTGATTTTTTTTTGTATTGTGTATGTAATAAGATTTGACTTCTGTTTTTTTTATTATTGATAATAATTTTCTTGTTAAGACCCTATAGAATCAATGGAAAACCTGAGATTCATACCAGAACCACGATGATTTCCAAAAAAACCTTTAATCGAAGTCCAAGAATTCCCTGAGTAAGAACTGCTAGATCATCACTTATTCAATTTCAATAAATAGATATAATGAAAAAAATACAAAGAAATGGATAAGCGGCGGCAGAATCAAATTCCATTTCTTTTTCTAAATGAATTCTTCTAACTCTTTCATTTTTTTTCGTCCGGTTGCGAGGTCTAAATATAAATATTAAGTATGAATCATAGTTCTAACACTTTAGAATCTATTTATTTTCTATATTCCGTGCTCCAGATACTAGAATAAATATCTGACGGGGTAAAGCCATCTATCAAGATAAGATGACGTATCCATTTTATATTCTGTACTATCAATAGGATCCATTATAACAAGTCACACACTCATATTCCAGAAATAGAGAAACAAAGAAGTTTCGCGGTCCAACTACCAAATCAAAATGGAATGGTCTAAAAATGAACGATCTAAATGCTAAACTTGACTTTTCTATTGAAAAGCTAGTTAGTTGGTTCTTGTGAATCGAATTCTCTAATTCATGGAAATTTGGTCCAGTAAAAGGGACGAATTATAAATCTCTAAAATAATAGAGAGAAATACCGCAAATAGGGCCATTGCAACCCCCATCCAAGGGGTAGTTCCCCACCCCGGAGCTACTTTACCATATTCTGAATTCAATGGTTTCAATAAATCTCCTACAACAGTTCGTCTTGGACCAGATCTAGAACTACCCTCAACGGTTTGTGTAGCCATAAATAAATCCTTTTTTTTTATTGAGATCTGTTGACTTTGTATACCATTCCGCTGTAGATAAAGGATCTTACCCTATAGATCCATTGTAGTCTTGATATTATAGAATCATGGAAACAGCAACCCTAATTGCCATCTCTATATCCGGTTTAATTGTAAGTTTTACTGGGTATGCCTTATATACTGCTTTTGGGCAACCCTCTCAACAACTAAGAGATCCATTCGAAGAACATGGGGACTAGTTGAAGTAATGAGCCTCCAATATCGTAATATTGGAGGCTCATTACTTTATTCAATTGATATAATTCTCAATCATTTCGTGTTTTTAGTGGGAACTTTAGGGGGTTCTCTAAAAAAATAGCGAAAAAAATGATTCCTAAAGCGAGACTAAGAGGAATGTATAAACCAATGCTTCCATAGATTTTATCGTGGTTTACAATTATAGCTTTCATACCTGTTTTGGGGGATTATCTCCTGGATAAAGAAAAAGAAAGAACAAGAGTAAAACAAAATGGAATGATTGAAATCAAGATTTATCTAGTTCCCTAATATCAAATTCACATAAAAAAAATCAAATCGAAAAGGAACAAACCTATTTCTATCAGACTCCCTGCTTTTTTGTAGTTGGATCTCCAAGTTTTTGGAATGCTCTAAATTCTACTTGCTCATCCAAATCTGGATCAATCCCAGCAAAAACATCTCTGAACAAGGTTCTAGCACCATGCCAAATGTGCCTGAAAAAGAAGAGCAGAGCAAACGAAGCATGTCCAAAAGTAAACCAACCCCTTGGAATGCTACGAAAAACACCATCCGATTTTAAAGTAGCATGATCTAATTCAAAAATTTCACCCAATTGAGCACGTCGAGCATATTTTTTCACAATAGCAGGATCGCTATAACTGACTCCATTGAGTTCGCCACCATAGAATTCAACAATTACACCTACTTGTTCGACACTATACTTCGATTCTGCCCTTCAAAAAGGAACATCTGCTCGAACAATTCCGTCTCTGTCTACCAAAACAATCGGAAAAGTTTCAAAAAAGGTAGGCATACGATGTACAAAAAGTTCATGCCCCTCTTTGTCTCTAAAGATAGGATGCCCTAACCAACCAACCGCTATTCCATCTCCATTGTCCATTGAGCCCGCTCTAAACAAACCCCCTTTTGCCGGATTATTACCGATGTAATCATAAAAAGCTAATTTTTCAGGAATTTTAGACCAAGCTTCTGATAAACTTTGATTTTCGACTAGCCCTCTACCAACTCTTCGATATATTTCTTGCTGGAAGTATCCCTAATCCCATTGATAACGAGTAGGACCAAATAATTCAATCGGGGTAGTTGCTGAACCATACCACATAGTTCCAGCAACAACAAAAGCTGCAAAAAATACAGCAGCGATACTACTAGAAAGGACGGTTTCAATATTTCCCATACGCAATCCTTTGTATAAACGTTGAGGTGGACGCACACTAAGATGGAAAAGACCCGCTAATATGCCAAATGTCCCTACTGCAATATGATGAGAGGCTATTCCCCCCGGAACAAAAGGATCAAAACCGTCCACACCCTATGCAGGATTTACAAATTGTACCCTTCCTGTTAGTCCATAAGGATCGGATACCCATATTCCAGGACCAAACAATCCTGTTACATGAAAGGCGCCAAAACCAAAACACGCCACCCCTGCAAGAAATAAATGAATTCCAAATATTTTTGGCAAATCCAAAGAAGGTTTTCTAGTACGTTCATCACAAAAGATTTCTAGATCCCAATAGACCCAATGCCAAATAGCCTCCAAAAAGCACAAGCCCGAAAACACAATATGTGCCGCGGCCACACCTTCGTAACTCCAAATACCCGAATTTGTTATAGTGCCTCCTGTAATATTCCAACCACCCCACGAATTGGTTATTCCTAAACGAGTCATGAAGGGTATAACGAACATACCCTGTCTCCACATTGGGTCAAGAACAGGGTCAGAGGGATCAAAAACTGCTAATTCATATAGAGCCATCGAACTGGCCCAACCAGCAACCAGAGTTGTATGCATTATATGGACAGAAAGTAAACGGCCGGGATCATTTAATACAACGGTATGAACACGATACCAAGGCAAACCCATGAAAATACCCCTTATATTAACAAAAAATAGACACTATGTAACTTTCTTGCACTGTAAAAAACTATGCTTGCTATAGACCCTCCCCTTATTAGTAAATTATCTCGCATTAAAGAATTTATATTTGTTCGAGTTTTTTAGAAACAAAGGAACATTCTATTCGTAGGAACAAAAAGAAGCAGATCTATTCTATATCCGATAAGTAACAATACGCAATGGTGGTGGGGGTTTACTTTTTTTGATATGCGTGTTTATATCAGTGAATGCAGACAATGGATACTAATCCAAGAACAACAAATCCTTTTTTTCTTCAAAATGAACATTCGTTGTTCTTATATTAGACACAAAAAGTCTACGTATGGGTCTTTCTTGGTTTCATTACAAAGATAGAGCTTTATATATATAAAATATAAATAATAAAAAAATGGAAAAATGGAAATATTTTCGTTTACTCAACTCATGTCATGAGTTGATCAATAAATCGGTTGATTTGGAATCATAGGCTGGGTAGATGTCACAGATGATGAATTGATTTCTTACCTATGTAACTATATTTTTCTTTTTGTTCGTCCGTAATAATGGATTCATGAATCCATTATTTTCAATTGTATCTTTCAAGTGGTATTTTTTGCTTACCTATTTGGATGGAAACTTAGGAAAGTGCTTTATAAACATATGTATAAAAAGAATATATTTCATCTAGTTTCCTTATGCCCACTATAACCAGTTATTTCGGTTTTATACTAGCAGTTTTAACTATAACCGCAGGTATTTTTATCAGTCTGAGTAAGATACGACTTATTTGATTTGCAAATTAGATATGAATTGGAAATTGTAGAATATTTTGGATATTCGATAGTTTCTTATCATATTTCCAATTCTTGGTCATTGAGATTCATGGTCAATATAAATTCATATTTAAGGATCGATATTATCCCCACCTTATTTTGGAATCGTGTTAGGTCTAATTCCTATTACTTTGGCAGGATTATTTGTAACGGCCTATTTACAATACCGACGTGGCGATCAGTTGGATATTTGATTTAGTACTGTCTCTTTTGTTTATTGACCTCCTATTTTTTTTTAATCCTAATTGACAGGAGATCCAATTAACACTTTTGATTAGACTAGACTGTTATCCCATTATTTTAGTCTCATTCTCCATCTCAGAAGAATGGTATCACGCTCTGTAGGATTTGAACCTACGACATCGGGTTTTGGAGACCCGCGTTCTACCGAAATGAACTAAGAGCGCTTTCTTTTCCTAAAGAATTTTATGTGATGGCAATACATATTGCATGCATACAAACTTAATAGGGAGAACTATTCATATAACTTGAGTATCTATGTCCAATTTGAATCGCTCAAAATTGATCTCTTGTTACTGCTCATACGATAACTAATCGTTAGGAATAGGGATGACAGGATTTGAACCTGTGACATTTTGTACCCAAAACAAACGCGCTACCAAGCTGCGCTACATCCCTTTACATAAGTTTCCAGTGTCATTCTAAAAATTTTTTGTCTTGTTTTCCACATTCTTCCATTATATATGGAATATATCCTGCCATTTTTTTTTACTTTCTTAGATCGATCATATAAAGAACAAATATTCTGATAGAATAGTTCTATTCAATTAATTAAAATAATTTAAAACAGGGAATAGATAGGATATATAAATAATAAGATACAAAGAGTATAATAACAAGAACAAAGAGTATACAAATAAGAATAATATATATATATATATATATATATATATATATATATATATATATATATATATATATATATATATATATATAATAGAATTTAGAATAATAGTCTATTATTCTAATTCTTATAAAAAAGTACTCCATAAAAAAATATCTAATGAATTGTTGTACAATTCAATTTGGATTCGGACTTCCCCCGACAAATCCAAGTGGTTTTATTAATAAAAAAACATGGAATCATATTCCTATATTCTGTATTATTAGGTATTCAAAATTACAATAAAAAACGAAGGAGGATTGGAAATGCGAGATCTAAAAACATATCTCTCTGTGGCACCAGTGGCAAGTACTTTATGGTTCACGGCTCTAGCGGGTCTCTTGATCGAAATCAATCGTTTATTCCCCGATGCATTGACATTCCCCTTTTTTTTATTCTAGTTATTGGCACGGGAAAGGCTGACGAAGATTAGGGATCCAATAAAATATCTATGATTCAATCCCTCTTCGTTGCTTTTTTCTAATTAATTATACTAGAATAATAAATTAAGGAAATTCAAAAAGGTGGATTGGGCCTCCGTGAAATTTTGAATTTTGCCCAGGTTTCGTTTAAATGGAATTGAATTAATACTTCAATTCCATTGCTATTAATAATTATTATAATTCTTAATAGTCAGACCAGAAATGGAATTATTAGGGTAGGGGCAATAATATCATAAAAGATATTTAAATAAAAACATAAATACTATACTGTGATTCGAAATATATTTCGAAAGCATTGTAGTAGTGAATTACTACTGTACTATATAAAATGAATTGGAACAAAATATTTCAGAATTTTATTTTGACTTATCAACTTATATTTTTTTTCGTTCCTTTTTTCTTCTTCCCTTCGAATCTTAAAATCGAAGAGTTAAGTGAATAAAAAAAACCAAAGGAGGCTCATGGCTAAGGGTAAAGATATCCGAATAACTGTTATTTTAGAATGTACTAGTTGTGATAAAAAGAGTGTTAATAAGGAATCGAGAGGTATTTCTCGATATATTACTCAAAAGAATCGACACAATACGCCTAGTCGATTGGAATTGAGAAAATTCTGTCCCTTTTGTTGTAAACATATGATTCACGCAGAGATCAAGAAATAGAGAAAATGGATTACTTGTCTA